TGTGTGTGTGTGTGTGTGTGTGTGTGTAAAAAGTGCTGTTCAATTAATAATCTAAAAAACAAATACATTTTATGCTAGAATTTATATAAAAATGTCTACTTGTAAATTTTGTCTGTCTATTAAAATAATGGTAGTTTGCCAGTCCACACATATCAAGAGAATCTAGCTTTACAATAAGAGAAAGCAGAGTAGCGCCACGTAGTGGTGAGACTTGGGCACTTCACTCCACAAACATGGGGGCAAAATCACATATGGTGCACATTTAAAGATCTATCTTCATTTAAATACACCTAAATAATAAATGATCTGTCCCCTAACCTTCAACTGTAATACAGGCATTAAATTCAAGCACACACAACTGGCATGCAGTTCACACTGTGATTTGGAGAGATCATGAATGTACCGGGATCCAAGCAGGTGAACTTGCAACACTCTTTAGGGTCCTTGCGGAAATGCTGGCAGCCCTGCGGGCGCTCACACAAGGCGGCCACACACATCTCCGGCTCTCCTTCGTGGCACGTGCAGCTCAGACACGGGTCGTCCCCTTTAGGTGTGAAATAATAGCCCTCGGTCACCACGTTGTCTTTGATGTCCACACACGTTTGTCCTGGTGAAGAAACCGGTCAGATTGACATCAATACAGTAGTACTAACAGAATGCTAGCAAACAGGGCCTTCTGTTAATACGCTGCTGGACGTACTTCTCTTGCAGAGGAAGGGGAATTTTTTGTAGCAGTTTTCGGCGTGCCAGCTGTGCAAGCCCCGCTCATTCATGCTCTTGATCTGAAAACGCTGCAGCTGGGCACAGAATACATTATCCTGGGTGGGGTTCGCCTCGCCGAAATTAGCCAGACCCTCCGGAGGCAAAAACACCTGCATGGATCCTGTGAGGAACAGACAGACGGATGAGAGTCGCCATTTTTGGGAACAGTTCCAAACGCCAACAGATGTGGAAAAAAAAGAGGATTTTCTTCATAAGTTAAAGAAATAGTTTAGCCAAAAAATAAAATTCTGTCATAGTTTACTCACCCTCAAATGTCATTTGAAATCAGTGTTGTTATTTTTAGAACTAAAACTATTAAATGTCATGTACGTTAAAATTTAACCCTAAACTTAAATGAAAATGATAAATGTTGCTTTGGTAACTGTAAGTTGAAAGTAAGTTAAAATTTAAATTATTAAAATTACTACAATTCAAATAATAAATTAAAGCACATATTAATACTTATTTATAAAAATAATAAAAATTACTTTAAAAAAAAAAAAAAAAAAAAAAGACAAAATTGATAAATCAAATAAAACTAAATCAATAAAAAATCACTTTAAAAAATGACAAAATTACCTAAACCAAATAATACTAAATTAAAATGAAAACTGAAAAATATAAAATATAAAATAAAAGCCAACTATACAATGACTGAAAGTAAAATAAAAACAAAGCTAAACAGAATTATAAAAAAACTAATGAAAATGACAAATATACATATATTACTAAAATATAAAATAAAGAAAGCTAATTTAAAATGTTAATATATACTTGAAATGTAAATAAAATCATAAAAAATTCAGATGAAAATTATTTGTTGAAATCATCAGAGTACATTACAGAAATAGTGATGTTTGATTTTTCCAATGAATCAACCGATTCATTTCACAAAACCTTGTTTTAAAGTGATCTGGTTATTGAGCTCACTGATTCACAATTAACAGCCTACTGGACCATTTTCTGTGAATAGCAACTTAAATTTCATTCTGTTCTTCACACTAAGTTATGGTAAGACTTCATAAGACTTGAAATACAGCACACAAGTCTTTAGGACCACTTTTTTTTGTTGTTTTTTTTAATTGTGCTGTGTAACAGCTCTGGCCCTCATTCTCTTTCATTACAATGAAAACAGAGGCAAAGTTATTTTTGTTTGACATGAGGGTGAGTTTTTCAGTTCCCTGTATTTCTTAAAATTAGGGATGTAACGATTAAGCGCGAGCCGGTTGAAAATCGATTCAAATATGTGACGATTCAAATCGGTTGAGATGCTAAACAAATTGCGATTCAGTTAGGGGTAGGAGTTTATATGAATGTATGTCTGAGGGGAACTTACTGTCTTTAGAAAATATGGAAGTGCTATATTAGTATATTATTATAGTGTTATATTTCAGTTTCACAAAGAAACGTGCAGCATTTTGTCCAAGCAATAATAAAAGGACACATTTCATTTATAATTTGTCTTAAATCTCATTTTGTAAAAAAAAAAAAGTGAATCGAATCGTGAGTTGATCGAATCGTTACATCCCTACTTAAAATAATTTGAGATAAAAACCAACCTTTATATGCCACTTCCCAACGGCCCTCGAGCGAATGATTCTGGTTGGTAATCACATACTGATATCCCACCCAGAACCTGCAACGACAGAGAACATCCACAGCGTTGAGAACTTAAAACTGTAAAACCTCATCTCTTCCTCAGAAAACTCACTTGCACTGGTCCTTTCGCTCGCACACTTTCTCGTCGAAGTCCACCTCGATCTTGAGGATGAACTGCAGCTCTTCATTGGTGCCGAACGTCGCGAGAGAGCCGTTGACCTTCTGACAGGTTTCCACCGCCTGCCAGTAGTTCTCGCTCCTCAGGTAGACTTTATAACAGCTGGCTGTTTTTTCATAGTGGTGCCAGCCGCTCGGACACTTCCCTGTGTTTGGAGCGGGAATTACATTATTTAAAAAACATCAATATTTCCACATAACTTCTAACACCCTACAGTTGTGTTCCATTATATTCATATTTATATATAAATGGCACCCTTTTATGTTCTCTTATGTTCCCCAAGGCTGCAATTATTTAATACAAAATAAAGTAAAAATTGTGAAATATTATTACAATTTATAATATCTATTTTCTAATATATTTTTAAATGTCGTGATGCAAAGGTGAATTTTCAGCATCATTACTCCAGTCTTCAGTGTCACATGATCCTTCAGAAATCATTCGAATATGCTGATTTGCTGCTCAAGAAACATTTCTTCTTATTATTAATGTTGAAAACAGTTTTGATGCCTAATATTTCTGTGAAAACTATGACCATATATATATATAACATAACATCATAAAATAAAATAACAAATAAAATGTTCAAAAGAATGGAATTTCTTTGAAATAGAAATCTTTTGAAACTTTTAACCAATTTAATGCATCCTTGGCGAATAACCGTATGAATTTCTTAAAAGAACTGATTCCAAACATTTGAACAGTAGTGTATATAATATACTGATCTATCTCTAGTGTAATAAAAACAACAATAAAAATAATAATAATTATTATTATTAAAATGTGCCCTCCTGCTGCACAGGTTAAGCTCTTATTTGTGTATGTGATTTTGTACATTTATTTGATTAGTTTTTTTTGTATTGTTTTTATGTGATTGCTAAGGGAAATATTGACATAGTAATGCAAAAACAGCACATCTTCACAGCATATGTGTTTAAGGAGATCAGGAAGGGTCTTACTGTTGAAGCGCACTGGCTGAGCGACTCCCATGACGTCCTCCACCGGCTCAAAACCATTGCTGTAACGATACCGCTCCTCCTTTATTGCTGCAAGAGAGCGAAACAAGGAATATCAGAATGCAGCTTGAATGCAAAAACATTTTCTCTTAAATAAGGCCAAAATATACTAGGCTGAAGCATAAATCATCTGTGGAAATGATCTATATTTGTCTGGAAGGATAACATTCAATATGATGCTACAGGGTAGGTCATTAAAACATCTTTTCAACCAATCAGTCGATCCAGTTCACAAAACCGTCCCGAACGATTTGAACTCAGTGGCCTTATCCTCAAAAACTATGAACAAAACTATGACAGTTAAAGGAATATATGACCTAGACTAGCTAGATTACCTATGCACTCACAGGTGTTTGTTTTTTTTTGAGCTTACAAAATAATATTATTATTTATTTATTTTTTTTTAAATCATGTTGTTTAGGTCTATAAAGTTCATGGTTATATTATATGTATTAAAATTAATAATAAATGTTATTAAAAAAAATTTTTTTTTACTAATAATACATTTATATATTTTTATTTAAAATAGAAATATTTTGTAACATTATAAATGACTGTACTGATACTTTTGATCAATTTAATGCATCCTTGCTGAATAAAATAATTGATTTCTTTCAAGACCATTTTAGTACTTTGTCCACACTTGATGTCCGATGTAAAATCTGTGCCCTGAACCAAAAGCAGCTGAGTATCTCTGGTGGCTGTGTAAGTTAAACAATGTGCTTTTAAGAAAGTCATGACTCTGAAACACTAATCCACAGCAAACAGAAGGGAAACAGAGTGGCAGCAGGTCTGCTAAGATAAAAACAGAGTTTCTAAGAATTATTAAACCACTTCCTCATTTCCTAAGAGAAGGAGCACTAAATCCGAAAACGAAGAAGATTGTAGACCAATCAAGAAATGAGCCAACAACTCCTGAGAACATCGACTCGATTACAACGATATCAAAAAAGAGCAGTGCAAATAATACAAGCATTAAATGAGTACGTAACCCTGCAGTGCTTTCTGTCTAATAATGATTACAACTGCAGTAAGCATGGCAGGGGTTAGACAAGAGTTCAGCAGACAGTAGTTATTTTTTAGACTTTTGATGATATTTAATCCTGATATTTATGCATTTGCTCTGAAATGGCTTAAAATGTGATATTTTTTCAGTCAGAAGAAATGTCATCTTTAACAAACAGTCAGTGTTGGCAAATTGCTCCATAACATTTAATGCAAGAACTAAAATACAGTAAAAAAAAAGAAAAAAAAAAAAGCAATAACAAGAACTAATAAAATACAAAAACTATAAAAATAAAATAAACATGTAATAAACAATAAAAATGTTTTTCTATCACCAGCAAATTCCCTATGAACAAATATATTGTGAATATTCAACATATCACACATTCAACATATAAGTCCCATTGGACAAAGTATAAGAAATATGAAACGGCACCTTGCCGAAATGGACTTATTTTATCTCCTGCTACTGAAAGTGTCACTGAAGACTGCTAAACACATCATAAATCAAAGGAAGAGATATGAAGACCAATCAGTTGATAAAAACCGGCAAGATTCAAACAATCACATCACCACCTCAAAAAACCTAAAATATCCCAGACTACAGGTCTACATACAACCGCTTCCTGATTATCTGGCAACACCACCAAAACAAAGCCAATAATCCTCAGTGGGTTATTTTCTCTTGCATTCATGTGCTCGGGGTGTGATTCTGATCAGCAGTGCTTGAAGGAGCTACGAGACACAGATCACATGCTCAGTAAATCCGCTCTGTAATTCCGGTTATCCCATCCAGGAATCAGACTCAGAGCACCGTGTCTCACTCCAGGGTTAAGACACAGAAACGACAGCACACAAAATCCAGGGTGCCAAGCACTGGCAAAATGACAAGACAAAACCCAATAAGCGGAAGTGAAAGCGTTCCTCATGTGGACGTAAGCATGAGCGTGTTTTTAAAGTGCATTGCACAAGAATGTGGCTGTGTGTGTGTGAGAGAGAGTGTGTGAACTTACTAGGGCAATCTATCTCATCGCTTTTGTCCTCACAGGCCGTCCATCCATCGCACTGCCAGGACAGAGGGATGCACTGCATTTTTCCGCTCCGGCAGGTAAACTGGCCAGGACTGCAGCGCTGATCTGAAACACAGACAATACACTGTTGAAGGTTGTCTCTTTCTAGATTAGTTTCACTCAGAGACTCCATTATCTGTGATTAGAATTGAACATGATTTATTACGCAACAGGAAAAGTCTCAGAATTTAGATTAACAGCCATTCAACAGCATCTAGGGACATCAGTGTCAATGTCAGGCTTAGCCAAATAAGACTCAAACAGGGTCAAAGTGGCTGGTAACGCTCAAGATCATTTGTAAGAATGCCAAGGATCGCAGCTTACCTGGCAACAGTCTGGCCAGAGCGAGCCGTGGACCTGCGGGGGGAGAGGCAGATTTAGTGATTTCAGCAATATAACATTACCTAATCTCTGAAAGGCTCAAGGGACAATCTGTCTCCTGGTTAGCAGGGTATAAATAACAATAGATAGCACAGATACATCTACATTTGCAAACAAAAGTCAATGTAAGTGACCAGAAAGCTCTAACGCATTTATTTTGTTCAAATGTGATCTTGCAAAGGCCCTAAAAATGTGAAATTATATCTTGCTTCAAGAAAGCAAAGCCTTAGGACCATTAAAAATGTAGACAAAACACATATTCTTATTAATGCTCAGGAAAAAGTATAATGAAGTAAAATAATAAATACATTAAGTCAGTGTTTCCCAACCGGGGTGCCGTCTGTCGAGAGCAGGGGTGCCGTGTAAAAAATCCTTTTTTAATATTTTTAAATTGCTAAAATGTTCAAAAAAGCATCTATTATATAATATCCATTTCTAAATACATTTATATTTATCATTATTATAAAATACTACTAATTATAATTACATTAATATTATACATTTTAAAGTATATATAATTCAGTTATATTTGTTTACATGTGTATAAAATAACAATCATATTAATAAAAAAACATACCAAAACTAACAATTTATTAAACAAGAATAAGAATAACAAATAAGAATAAAATTATGTATTTTTTTGAATAATTTATTACATTTATATTATACATTATATTTAATAAAAACAATAACAAAATATATTAAATAATGTATATATAATTTATTGATTACATATACAGTATCATTATTATTAGCAAATATATATATTTTTTACATTTAATATAAATTTAATCAATTACTTATGCCCATGTGTGTGTGTGTGGTCCAGGTTTTCCCAATTTTGGATAGTAAAACCTGAAATATTTTACATTGTGGGGACAAAATGCCTGTCCCCATGTGCAAATGTTTTTTTTTTTTATGTAAAAAATGCAGAATGTTTTCTAGTTTTTACAGCATAAAAATCATTATGTCTATGGAGAGTCCTCATAAAACACAAAACCCTCAACATCTCTCTGTGTGTATCATTTTATACAGCTATATACTTAAACTTAAAAGCCATCTAATATTATAAATAAATTAATTTCTGTTATCAGTTAGCAAACACCCAATTAGCTTGATCCTCCAATCCACTAAACAATCTCTTAAGATGAAGCATCCTACAGACATACTAATTACATTTTTAAAAAAGAGCTTCTTGGGAGGTCCAGACATTCAGACGTTCAGTCAATCACCTGTGCAACCCTTGAGTCTAAAGTTATCCTTAAACAAACACACCGACATTGAGATGCCTTCAGAAGAGCAGTGTGTTCTCTACTATGGATGGATTACTAGAAGCAGATCTGCACCACATTCACCGCTGTAGACAGTAAGACCATTGTGAACAGCTGAACAACTGTTTGACTGGTAAAATCCTTCTCGTCCCTGTGTCCATAAGTTCTAGTGATCACCAAAATATTATGAATAACCCATTTGGGTAGTTGACAAAAAGATAAAACCTTTTCAACATTAAGATTTTAGGTTCAAATGTACAAGAAGAGGAATATACATGGTTCACTGCCCTACTATTTTGCACATGGGTTTTGCATGCATCAATTTGAGTTTGTTATGTAGTAAAAAGTCTTCTGGGTCAGTAGTAAAGATATGCAAGAGCCTCCTTTAATGTTAACATCACAGCGATCATGTTAATATTATGCACTTTTAACAAGAGCACACACTGAGATTAAACACCAGCTGTGGGTTTATTCGATGAGATTCAACATGGAGACAGACCAAACCTTCCTGTCCCCGAAAATAAGTGCAGACCGAGCACATAACCTGGGCTTAATTAAACACAGAAAAGCACATAACAGGCCATTAACCTAAATACTGTCCTATTTATTTGATCCGCTGGGTTTCCATGCATCACCTTGTATCTACAGGATTAATAAACCTCCCATCTAACAGAGGAACATCAGAACAGAGACCTAGCGCTTAGATGTTTCTCCATCCAGAGCGTTCTGTTTGATCTGTCTGCTCCCGTATTGAACTGTGGCCTACCAGAAACACTAGATTGACTGCAAATGGCTGGCATGTATGGCAAGTTAATTGAACATTTACATTTATTCCTTAAAACCTAGAAGCATCTATTTTACTGTACTAACATGTTTTTTTATTACTAAAATTCCAATAGTCACTGTTTTCTTCAACTAAAATCTTTCAGTTCCACTAGCAACCATTCATTACATACTAGTATTTGTTTCATTGCTACTAGTCACTAACTCAACAGTGACAAGTAAAAATTCCATTGCTTTTTGTCATTTATTGTATGGGAATCTGTGGTCATATCAACTATTCACTTCCAACTAGAATTACAATAGTTACTAATACAAATTTCAGTTTTAATATATCACTTATTTAGGGAGTTTACACAACACCATTTTCAACTAAAAACAGAATGTTTTTATGCATTTTGGCCATTCATTTACACAACAATGGTTTTGAGGGCCTGAAAATGCAAACTTTTGAAAACAGGTTTCAAAGCGCACGTTTTTTTAACATTATACTGTTACAAACTCCGTGCATTTTTAGGTGTTTTTGTGGATCTGTGTAAATGGGGATTGTTTCGACAAGGTTGTGGTCTGTACGCGTAAGGAAAACTTTTCCGTTTTTAAAACATCGTTGACGTGTAAACGCCCTTATTAGATATTAGAACCCATTTCTGAGACCCTAGTATCTAATGTTACTAATAACGCTTCTTATTCTACTAATTTTTTTTCTCATATGTCAGAATGGCTGCTGTATGGTGTGTATAGCAGTGTTGATTCCAGAAGTATTTTTTTCATTCAATTTTTCCATAGCGATTTAAAAAAAAAGTTTTGTTAGTTATAAGCCATGGTGAACCAAACCAACAAGCTACAAGGTGAATCACAACATTGATTTGAAGCAAAAAGACAAAGTTACAAGACAGCTTAACAGCTTTAAGCATTGCAAATGACAATCAAATTGATAATCAAAAAAATAAAAACAATGGAGAAATCAAAAACTTTTGACAAAGATACTGATATATATATATATATATATAGTTCTTTAGGCGCCATTGTTTCTCTCATTGGTGCAGATTTCTTTGCAGTATCATGGAAAATTTAGTTTTTCTACTCTGTTAAACTTATTTTAAAAACAAGTTGAAATAATGTGGGCTGATGGCTTCAACAAAAGCATATTCCATCAGTTAACAAATCAGTGGGTTTGTTAAGTTTTTTAAGATATTGTTAAAAATCAATTTCCCTATTGAGAAAATGAATGGGATTTTTTCTTCTGTTGCGCACCACTGGGACAGATATCCATAAAGTACCAGGACTTGTAAAACTGGAACAGGTACCAGCAATAACTAGTTGAAAGTAAATAATTGGGTTCACCACAGATTTGCAATTTGATACAAGTAACAATTGAATAGATTGGTATAGTATCTAGAAGCAAAGGAAAAAATAAGTAATGAATAACAAACGTATATTATGCAGTTAAGGAATAAATATTAAACAGCTTGCCACATGGTATGTAATGTAAAAGGCTTAAAGCTAGTAACATAGATACTATGTAGCTTTCAGGATTAAATGTTAAAGCAGCTTGCCATATGGAATGCACTAAAAAGGCGTAAAACTTCAGACATTATGCACAATAATAAATGATAACACAGTGGTAGTTAAAGGCCCTGACGGCCTGCGAAAGAGCCTCTGCAGCTCAGCGCCTGTTCATCCCCCTCATGACCGAAAATAAGCAGAGCAGCAAGCCTTCACCAGCCCAGACTGCAGCAAACACAAGCACTGATTAAAGCAACACCTTTACCTGTCCGTGACGGATCTGTTACTGTCAGAATGAAGAGGAGAAGCACAAAACCACCGCTGTCAGCCTTCGGCCACATTTATCCTCCATTCATAGTGTCTTACACCTGAGAAAATGTGCGAGAGAAAATGCAGTTAAAGCACCAGCCGCCGATGTTGAGAAATAAATCGCAACGAACAGCCGATTCCGCTTTCTGTGTGTATTCCGTCGATCAGAAACAAGCTTCGACACTCGGATGTGTTTATTTCAGTTGGCTAGGGTCGGGATGTAGTGTCATATTCCAGGGCTGTTTCCTCTGGCTCGGTATACGGGCTTAGCACGGATATAAAACAAGATGGCTCCGCCACCGTCCCATCAAAACAATCTCAAGCAAGTCTGTTCTCCAGCCCACAGACTGGAGGAGGAGGCGCTTAATCAAGCCCTCATAATAACACATGCACGACAATTCCCTCATCATGTCTCACTGTTCACACGGATGTTTTATGGAATATTTCTAAAGCGTTTTGAGCGCGTTTGTTTTGTAGCCAGTCACATGATTGTTTAAATGAATATATATTAATTTATTTAACACTACTGTTCAAAAGTTTGGGGCCAGTAATTTTTTTGTATTTTTTTAAGGAAATTAATAAATTTATTTTGCATTAAATTGGTCAAAAGTGACGGTAAAGACATTGCATTTCTGTTCTATTTCAAAACATATGCTGTTTTTAACTTTCTATTAATCAAAGAATCCTGAAAAAAACAATATCAATATATTACAATATATACAATATCAAAATATCAATATTTTTTCAAAAAAACAAAAGTAACCAGCACAACTGTTTTCAACATTGATAATAGAAATGCTTCTTGAGCACCAAATCAGCACAATATTACTATTTTTGTTGTATATTTGATCAAGTAAATGCAGCCTTGGTGAAGAGACTTCTTTCAAAATACTTAAAAAATTACCAACCCCAAACTTATAGAAAAATATACAAATGAAACGAAGTTTAGCCACTCGATTTTTCAAAGTTGTAAATAAGTTGCTTTTTTAACGAGAAAATAGTACTTAAGTATTTCAAAATTTCATGTTTAATTCAATGTGTTCCACTCCTTTGTAAATATTTGTGAATTTTACTAGCAATTTCTAAGTGAAAATTGTTTCAAAGTAAATCCTACACCATTTTTTCCCTAGTGTAATGTCTTGCAACAAGCTATTCAATTCATTTACACAAATGGAGCAAAGCTTGTCACACACTATGTGTTAAATTGTCACAGTGGGAACCTTGATTAAAGTCAATTATGGTTTTTTTCTCTAAACTTAAACAGTAAAACAATTATGAAACACTTTTGTGCTGTTTCGGCCAACATGGAATACACCGTGACTGAAAAACAGATATTACAAAATATGGTGATCAACCTTAGTTTTGAGAATAGAATTCAAAGAGTCTGTCCCAGCATCATATAATGTGAGCCCAGGCTTAAAGGCAAAAAAAGACATGATTTCCTTTCTTCTGTCGAACACTGCAATCATAGATTTTGTTAAGAGTAAATTCACTAAGGGAGTCTTTCTACGTATATGTTGTATGAGTCCAGCCTCCAACCCAAAGATGGATTCAGCAAATGAATCTTGTAAAATATGATTGGTGAAATTATACACACAAATCTGTAGAACTCTTTATTGTGCCCTTGAGATCTTGCAAGATGTCTTCAACATCATAAAAGATGCTCAGACTTCAGGAGGACTGAACCAGCTTTGTTCAAAACAAATCAAGAGTAATAAAGAACCGAATAGAACAAATGATTCACCTGATTGAATCAGTTGATGTGGATGATGCTGAAAAAGTACATATATGCTAGCTAAAATAAAAATGTAAAACTAAATTCTTACAAACTGTAGATGTTTTAAGTTGTAGACATTTTCTTCCTTATAGAAAGAAGTCCAAGAAACCTGATGATTAATTCAGTTTCACAGTTTTAAAAAAATTAGTAAAAAAAAAACAAAACAATAAATATGTGACCACGTTAGAGTTTTTGTTCAGTCTTTTGTTTCAGAAGTAATCTGAGGCTTTCCTCCTCTTGGGCAGCTGGAGGAGGTTGTCTGTGATGGAGGCCGGGTCCTGTGTGGCCGGTGTTCTGGCTTTCCCAGGTGTTGGTGTGATGGAGGGAGTGGCTGGGCCTCCGAGAGGAGTCTTAGAGCCCATGATCCTGTGCGCAGGTGACGGGGTGTAGCTCGCCCTCAGGGCTTTATCTGTGTATTTGCTGGACGATCTGTTTACTAGACGCTGAAGGGCAGGAGACAGCGCTGCGGGACTCAGTCCCTTCGGAGTAAGGCTGCAATACATATAAACAATCATTTAGTACACAACATAAATGCAGTTTTGAATATCACTTTGAAAACTACATCGAAAAGGGTATCTTTTGGTTTTAATGTGTAAACCAAAGTTTATTTTTTTAAGTTATAGAGATTAGAGTTTTCTGTCCCCCACTGAAACCTGAAACACTCTTTTATCGTAAAAATACAGACTACTTCAAAAGTCTGAAGTAGTGGTCGACCGATATTCTCGCAAATAAAGAAATTGTTTAAAATATAAAAAAAGGACGTAAATACTGAAACTTGTGTATTCAGGTGCTGACTTTCTCAGCAAAGTCCCATGCGCTGTCAAAATATGCCGATAATTAAAAAAAATGCCAAATAACAACCAATATAATTAGCTTGCTGACATATCAGTCAACCAGTCGTCTGAAACCACACTGAAAATGTGGGATTTCATTTAAATGTTAAAACGTTTTGTAATTTTGAAAATAAAATACAGAAAATTAAGGTTTGATATTGTGACGAGTGGGGGCGGGGCCGAGAGCCGAGTGGAGTAAATGCTAATGCGCGACAGCCTGGACTTTATTTTATGTTTTAGTTCTGTTTGTGCGCGACAGTCGTCCGCGAGGGGCTGTCGCGCTATTTTGTGTTTATTTTATTATTAAAGTTTTCTTTGAACGTTAACAAAATAAAGTCCAGGCTCTCGGCCCCACCCCGCCCCTCTCGTTACAGATATGAAATATTAATATATTTTGTTCTTAAGCATCAATAAAGCAAAATGGAGGATGAACCAAATTTGAAAAAACTTTTCACTTAAATTGTTATCCTGATAATATAATCAAAATGCTTATATTTAGCATTTTTTCCTAGTTTAATCCTTATTTTAATTACAAAAAAAAAAAAAATGCTGTTTAAACTAGAAAAATACAAGCATATTTTACAATCTCAGACTCGTTTTCTTTACCTTGCGAGGTTTTCAGTGACTTTGCGCAGCGCCTCCTGTTTCTTAGCTCTGTTTTTTGCCGCAGCCTCATTGGCCATTTTCAGACCCAACCGCTCTCTTCTCCCAGGCACTGGAATCTGGAAGACATCCATAAAAACATCCATTCATTATTTTTATTGAAATATTGGACAATAAATGTTACACACAGCGCACACTACCATTAAAGTTTTTTGATGATATAAAATTGGGTATCAATAAAACCCCAATATTCTGTTTATATAGGAAAGTGAATGAAACCAGTGAAATGTTTGCTAACTAGAATTGAACTGGACCTTGAACGATGGACCATGACTTCTCTCCACGAGTGGTGTGTCTGAGCCGTCCAGACGAAATGGAGTGCTTTCGATCTCACCCCACGTCATCAGAGGAGACTCTGCAACACCTTATAAACAAACAAGCCATTTAGGAAAATATGACACAAGTACTTGTATATAAGTCTTCAAAAACTTTGTTCTTCTCGACTGTTTCTTAAGATTTCAATGTTAAAACTTTTGTTTAAATTCTTTAGATTATTTTGCACACCAATATAAATTGTATAATACATTTCTTTAATCCAAAACAGTGGCACTCACCAGGAGCAGGGGAGGCTTTTCCCTCAAATCCATAACCATTTACTTTGGGGGATTCGTGAGGCAGGAGCTCTTTGCCATCTGGACCAACCTTACCTTGTTTAAACTAGACAGAAGGCAGAGGAGAGAAATATGCATTTAGTTTCATCATATTTCATCAAAGTGGTTTATGATCTGATGCTGACAAATGAGATGCAGAAGTCAGTGTTACCTGTGCATTGAGCGCAGCAGCTTGCTGGATTTGGGATTTGTTCAGCGCTTTACAGAAGGGGTCAACATTAAACCGTGTGTTCTTGTACAGGACCTCCCGTGGCGTCTTGAACAGCGTGTCGTCTTTTTCACCTTTTGGGGAACAAAATAAACACATGCAATTTACCGTATGGCTCTTTGGCTTTGAACTCAATGATATATATCACCAGACTCATAATCAAGTTATTAATAGTTTATTTACAAGCCTCAGAAAGTGTCATGCAATATTAAACAGATGGGGATCCTCAATGGGAAACCTTACCTTCAGGGTAGTACATGAGTGCATTTTTGGCCTTGTACTGCCATGTTTCCACTCCTGCCTTGGTGCACTCAAGCGCCTGTTTCTCTGTGGACGGTAAAGCGAGGTTCTGCTCATGCCTCTTTAAATGATAGAACAATAAACATTGTCAGAACTCAAAACAAGACTCAACAATGCAAAACGCAATTATATGCAGTAGCTATTATTGTGCTGTACCTCATTATATTCATTTTCTGCCTCATAAAGCCACGCATGCCTCAGCTTGTCCTTGTCCTCCACAAGCTCCATTATCTGCTCAAAGGATGCATTGTCCTCACTCGTGTTTTTAGCAAGAAAGCGGTCCAGAGATGGAAGATCCTTTTCCTCTGCTTTTTCACCTTCTTTTCCTGAAACATAACAAAGAACACATGTAGCATGTTGCATTTATCTTTAAAAATAAGGAGATTCAAAGATCCAAAATCCCCTCTGTAAAGAACTGAAAAACTAAGAAAGCAAAATCAAAAAATGCAAATTTGTGCATATTTAATTAGATTTAATTAGATAGTGCCTTGTTTGCATATTTAAACATAACATTTCAATAATACAATAATAGAGAACAACTGTCACAATGTACTTTAATTGATCAAATGAGTTTTTATGGTGTCTAGATGCAAGGACTAAAAAATTTAGCAGCAGTCACTTACCATCCTCTTTCGTTGCTCTGTGTTTGCTCTGTGAACATGAGGGAGATGCACTTCCACCATCTGGGGTCTCAAATGTTGAAGGAGTCGTGTCTAAATGGGAACAAAATGATAAAAAAAAAGAAAAAAAAAAGTTTTCCAATGTGCCAGCAGTAAATCACTGATGTGCAAAACACAGTAGGTGGTTATCATTAAAGGAATAGTTCACCCAAAAATGAAAATGTACCCACTCTCAGGCCATCCAAGATGTAATGAGTTTGTTTCTTCATCAGAACAGATTTGGAGAAATTTAACATTACATCACTTGCTCACCAATGGATCCTCTGCAGTGAATGGGTGCCGTCAGAATGAGAGACCAAGCAGCTGATAAAAACATCACAATAATCCACAAGTAATCCACACCACTCCAGTCCATCAGTTAACATCCTGTAAAGCAAAAAACTGTAGTTGTAATAAATCCATTATTAAGTCGTTTTAACTTAAAACTGTTTCTTCTGGCCAAAATATCAGTCCATAATCCATAATAACGCTTCCTCCAGTGAAAAAGTCCATCCCCTGTTGTCCTCTCACATCAAAATCCACCGATATATTTGTTTAGAACGGTTTTTGGCTGATTTAGCTTGTGAACGGTGTTTGGTATGTGCATATTTCTATACTGATTCAGACAAGACAACATTTCCACTGGAGAAAGCAATATTATGGATAAAGGATTCATATTTTAAAGTCCCCCTGTAGTCAAATATTTTATCCCTTAAAACTTATCTTTGATCATCAAAATTACATATTTAAATGTTTTTTCTTGTGAAAATAATTTTCTCATGCCTTAAAATAGCCGTTTACAGCTCGAATACAGCCGTTTGTGATTCTTAATTCGTGCCCGCGAGCATGCGCGAGTGTGAAGTGCAGACGCCGATGCGGATACAGTTTTAAGGAGAAAATACTCAGCAATGGTGTTGATTAATAGATTGGCACATGGTTTGTCTAAAGGCATATTAAAAACACCATATAGACAAATAAACAACATAAAAAACTTGATTTTCACTACAGGGGGACTTTAAATGGAAGCAATGGTTTAAAGTTAAAAACGTGTTAATGGTGGATTTGTCTCTTACAAAAATGCAGCTTTTCACTTCACAAGGCATTAACTGATGGACTGGAGTGGTGTGGCTTATTGTGATGTTTTTATCAGCTGTTTGAACTCTCATTCTGACAACACCCCATTCACTGCAGAGGATCCATTGTAAATGTTCATTTTTTTGGTTAAATATTCCTTTAAGAATTAATCCCGAACAGTAAGAAACGTCACTCACAGGGCACATAGGTGCGTGGGGTGTATTTAGCCATCGCAGACCCGTATTTGATGGCAATCTCCCTCATCCGCTCCAGATCTCCGCTCTCCTCCGCCTCCAGATAATCCTTCTGTGCTTGAAGTTTGGAGGCATCTTGGAAAAAGTCCCTCTGGATGATCTTCTCCAAACTCTTTGGAAGAAATGGTGACAGGAAGTATGCGTGTCATTAGCAAATCTAGACAGAAGAATATATGCAGATAAGCGTGTTGTTTACAGGTGACACATGAAGCTCAATCAGCTGTTCCTGTATAACACACTGTATGTTGAAAAACGGCCTGAGGTTTGGTATTTTGTGTAAACTGTGGTGTTGAAGGTCATCGTCTTTTTTTTAAATAATAATAAAAAACCAAAGTCAAAGTAAAGTGTATTCAAAGAACAACAGGGCACATAGGTGCGTGGGGTGTATTTAGCCATCGCAGACCCGTATTTGATGGCAATCTCCCTCATCCGCTCCAGATCTCCGCTCTCCTCCGCCTCCAGATAATCCTTCTGTGCTTGAAGTTTGGAGACATCTTGGAAAAAGTCCCTCTGGATGATCTTCTCCAAACTCTTTGGAAGAAATGGTGACAGGAAGTATGCGTGTCATTAGCAAATCAAGACAGAAGAATATATGCAGATTAAGCGTGTTGTTTACAGGTGACACATGAAGCTCAATCAGCTGTTCCTGTATAACACACTGTATATTGAAAAACGGCCTGAGGTTTGGTATTTTGTGTAAACTGTGGTGTTGAAGGTCATCGTCTTTTTTTTAAATAATAATAAAAAACCAAAGTCAAAGTAAAGTGTATTCAAAGAACACATTTCAAAACACATGGGCATTAAAATAATATAATACAATAAATTATTGAATGATTAAGTATAATACAATTAATTATGTCAGGGAATCCCCTGTTGTAAATAGTATACAAGACTGTCTTACCTCGATATATTCATCTTCATCGATAATCTTCTTCGGTTTCTTAGTCTCTTTCACATGATTCCTGACAGCGACTGTAGTAACATCAGACTTCAGACTCAAAGCTTTCTCTTTGGACTCTGTCATATTTCTATTTTAATAGGAGAAACTGTTCTTTTACAGTGATGTAAAGTCCAGTTGCGTAAGACGTTGTTTACGTTAGCCTATACGCTAAGTCCTGTTATTTTCTCTAACGAAATGCCATTAAAATGTTTAAAACGTATTTGTAGCCTATTTTAACGATAGTTCACGGTAAATGTTTATTTTTAACTACCACTTAATCAAACATTATGACTGAAAAACCATGTCAAAACATCAGCTGAACGTAGTTGCACAGCGCTCAGGAACAGTGTCTTCTTCGCATCTTTTCCGCTGAACACTGAAGCGCTAGAGCGACTCTCCATCGCCACCTATTGACTAGCGACCGCATGTACATGAACTGACTTAAAGGGTTAGTTCATCCAAAAACAAAAATTAGGCACAGCGGGCGAGGCGGGCTGCACACCGTGACGGATAACTCGCCGTTGTAGCTTGCGCTCACTGTTGTACACTGGAAGCAGCTCCGGGCGGATGACCTCTGAGGTCAGCGTTGTGCATGCGCCGGTGCGTCTCGTGAAAACCAACGTTTGTTTACAGGATCAAAAGAAGCAAAGTTTCCTTACTTTAGCAAAGGAAAACAAGTCTCCTCTTGGCTTATATCGAAATCCTCCGACATTCTTCTTTACAAATCCTCGTTTTGTACTTCTAATTAGTGACCGTTGTTTTGTTTCGATCTCTCCGCGTGCGTCACTTCTGAGCCGCGCATGCGCAAAGCTGACCTCATACGTAATTCCCCGGGAACTGCTTCCGTTTACAACAGTGAGCGCAAGCTATATTCAAAGACCCTGCATAGACAGCAACGCAACTGAAATGTTCCCAAGTCCAGAGACGTAGCAAGATGATCTGTAAAATAATCCATGTGACATCAGTGGTTCAGCCGTAATATTATGAAGCTACAAGAATACTTTTTGTGCACAAAAGAAAGAAAAAAAACGACTTTATTCAACAATTCATCTCCTCTGTGTCACCCTAGCGCCATCCACTTAATGTAAACAGCGTGTGGTGCGGCTGACACAGAAAGTTCCGAAGATGAACGGAGGTCTTACGGGTTTGGAACGACATAAGGGTGAGTAATTAATGACAGAATTTTCATTTTTGGGTGAACTATCCCTTTAACAGTTCTAGTACACGTAAACACTTAAATAGCACATCACCTCAGTGAATATGGTACGCAATAAACGTATTGTTTATTTTCAGTCCATAAGTGCAATAAAAGGAATGCTAGTTTTCAAAGCCTTTAATATAACTTAAGACAAGACACCACAGGTGAGTAAGGGACACATTTAAACTAATAGATATCACCATACGTCCCCAGTTGATTAATCACAGTAGTTTAAGACAATTCTTTTGTATCACATGTTTCTGAAATCTTACATCTAAATATGCAAATGCAACATTATCTAATTAAATATGCATATATTTGCATAAATGTACATAACAGAGTATAATAAACCTTAAATGTGTATTTTGGATATTTTCTTTCCACTAGTCTCAAAGACATGTTATGGAAGCAAAATAGCCCAAAATCTCAAAATTGACCAGGGCCTTAAAAAAAACAAAAAAACAATGGTTTTCCCTGTAGTGTCTTGCCTTAACAGATAATATTCAAGTGAAGATATGTTTGCATTTAACTATGTCTGGATAAGATGCAAAGCTTCAGAGTCTCCAAAAATGAAGCTCACGACTACAGAAAATTACATACAAAAAATGCATTAAGTCTAACAACACTTTTAATGTTATGGAAAGCAACAGAGAATAGTTTGGCTGATAGAACACGAAAATTAATATGTCTTTGCTCCCTATAATCATCTGCCTTTATGTTAACAGTCTGATACACATTAAAGTAGCTATTAAGAGATTAACAAAATCACGGTCAGGCATAAAGAATCAGCGGTTTCATTGTCATGTGTTAAGCTAAATACAAAAGCCAGTCTGTCTGAAACTGGTTGCAACGGCGTACGAGAATCTTTTAATCAACATAAAGATCTGAAACTTTTCTAGTATGGAATTTCTAATATGGAATGTCAAAAGACAACACTGCAACAAAATGATATTCTTACTTAGCATTTTTCACTTGTTTTCCCATCACAAATATCTAAATGTTCTTAAATCAACACATAATTACTTGAGAAAGAAAATTATTTAAGATGAAAAATGTATGTCTGAAAAATGTATCACAATCAATTGAATTTATGCGTAAACCAAGAAAAAAATCTGTCAATTGGGTATGAAAAATCGTGGTTTTCTTTTGAATTACGTTTATTTTTCTATATTTTTCAGGTTTTAAGCATAAACTCCCTTACTTTTGCTATTTTTTGTCAGAAAACGAGACTTTTAAAAAAATGTTGTTTCTCAAGTAAATGTTTAGATACTTGCATTGGAAAATCATTTTTTGCAGTGCACACTGAAATATTTATAGGTGTTTATAGGGGAAGTGTGTAATTTCTGCAACATAATTAGTTAATAATAGAATTACCTGGTTTTAATAAATGGAAGCTCACAGAAGCCATGCATCACTATTTTTCCATTATGCTTTCTTAAGGGCACAACTTTCTTCATTTTTACAAATCCATTTGAATCTGCTAATGCTACAAACTACACACCTCAACTTTAAGCTCCTATTGGACACATTTGGATATTACAGAATTAAACCAATAAATATAGACTGCTAAGATGCGATAATAGAAGCCCAGTGTCTATGTAGCAATGTTCAACACGGGACCTTTTTGGCCTATTAGGAGCTTCTTGGCAAGTCGCTGTGAGGTCAAGAGCAAAGGCACGTATTTCGCAGCAGGAGCGATGAAATCACCGCAAATCCATCACGTTCACACTTCCGTCAGTGATGGTGATGTGTTGACTAGCCTGAGCACAAGACACAGACGCAAAACCTTCATTATGGTGCACATAAGGCTGAAGGACACAGTAGATCATTCACATGGAGTAAAAGTAGTTCACCCAAAAATGAAAATTTGCTGAAAATGTACTCAACCTTCAGGCCATCCAAGATGTAGATCAGTTTGTTTCTTCATTGTAACAGATTTTGATAAATTTTGCATTATATGTAATGAATGGGTGCCGTCAGAATGAGTCCAAACAGCTGATAAAAACATCACAATAATCCACAAGTAATCCACACCACTCCAGTCCATCAGTTAATGTTTTGTGAAGCAAAAAACTGTTTGTAAGAAACAAATAGTTCATTACAATTCTTTTAACTTCAAACCATTAGCTTCAGCTTAATATGAATCTTCGATCCATAATGCTGCTTCCTGCAGTGAACAGTTGTCTCATCTGAATCAGGAGAGAAATAAACACAGATCAAGCCCAAAACAGTTCTAAACAAATTTATTGGTGGATTTTGATGTGAGAGGACAATAAGGGATTGATTTTTTCACTGCAGGAAATGTTAGTATGGATTATGGCCTGATATTTTGGCCAGAAGTTAAAATGCCTTGATGATTTCTTACAAACACTTTTTGCTTTACAAGATGTTAACTGATGGACTGGAGTGGTGTGGATTGCTTGTGGATTATTGTGATGTTTTTATCAGCTGTTTGGGCTCTCATTCTGACGGCACCCATTCACTGCAGATGATCCATTGGTGAGCGATGGCCTCAGGGTCAATTTTCAGCAAATTAAATTTTTTTGGCTATTACTTTATGTACTGAAGTTTAATATTTAGGGTTCTCTAATCACTAATCAGGTATTACTCACAGAGAAGAGGGGGGGCTCCCTTGAATGCGGGTGGAATCCTCTTTGTTTGCAGGAACAGATCTCGTCCATCCCGTAGTCTGTCAGCCGGAAGTAGCCCGTCCTGGAGAACCATGGAGTTATCAGACTGTCATTGTTCCGTTATACCTGCTAACTATCACTCAAACTAAGTAAGACAGCATATAGCTCAAAACATACTCATTGAATTTAGGTGAGCACACAATGGCTATAGACTCTGGAAGCATGATTTGATAAGAGCAATGTGTGTGCAGGTCCACACTGGATAAAAAGGCCGTCTGGGTCGGGTGGGTCTTATAGAAAAAAAAGACACCGATTATTCTCAAGACACATAATTACAGTGATACTATTAAAAAAATTAAAATGAAATGTGTCTATACAGAAAACCTCATACATGAATCCAGCCCAGTGTAATGAGATCATTCTGATCCTGGATTAGGAAAAGTTCCTCCTCGTTCTCTGTGTCACAGTAATCTGGTCCTCCACACTGCTTGGGCACGATCACGTGTGTCACTGTGAAGGCGTTCTTCATCTGTGGACCAAGACAAGCAAACTGTTTTGTGATTTACTCATCATAATACAGATTTCCTCAAATATGTTAATAAGGTTGTAATTTGCCCCAATTATATTCAAGAGATAGTAAGTGAGATTTATATACAGTACACTTCCGTTTTAAACATTTGTGGTCAATAAGATTTTTTTTATAATACCTTTATTCAGCAAGAATGCATTAAACTGATCAAAAATTACAGTTGAGACCATTTTAATGTTACAAAGATTTCATTTCAAATAAATGCTTTTCTTTTGAACTTTTTACTCATCAAAGAATCCGGAATTTTTTAACATGGCAACCCTCTACATTGCGAGTAATAAAAAATTTACTAGCCAATGGCGATTCAATTGCCAAGGTGTTCGTAGAGGGCTGCATGGTTTTTACAAAAACATGAGCACCGATAATAATTTAATATTTCACAATACTACTGTTTTTACTTTATTTTTGATCAAATAAATGCAGCCTTGGTGAGTCTGGCTAGTAAACTAAAAAATTTACTAGCCAATGGCGATTCAATTGCCAAGGTGTTCGTAGAGGGCTGCATGGTTTTTACAAAAACATGAGCACCGATAATAATTTAATATTTCACAATACTACTGTTTTTACTTTATTTTTGATTTAAAAAAATGCAGCCTTAGTGAGCATAAGTGACGTTTAAAAAATCTTAACGTCCCCAATTTTATTTTATTGTTTTATTATTAATTTACTTAAATTAACTAAAAAGTTAAAAGTCGTATAACAAATATTACCATTATGCATAAATACACCTTCATTATTTAATATTTAATATTAATATTTTTTGTATGACCTCTAATTTATGTTGTTCATTAAAAATTATGGTATTACAGTAATGTATTAAAAAATATCCATATTAATACATAAACTGTTCAGAAGCATTATGTGAATGAGAATTGGGGGGGGGTCTGATTATTGTTACGAAAAAAAACTCTTAATGGCATAAAAATAGGTTTTATTTTCTTCACGCAAAATCTAAATATAATTCTTTATTTTCAAAACAATAAAATCTTCACTGATTGTTATAAAAATAAAAATAAACATTAATGGCATAAAAATAGTCCTTATTTTCTTCTCCTTTTTTCTTTAGATTTTGGCTGAAATACATGTTTTAGTGGGATTTACCGAAATGGATAGCTCAAATAAAAAGACATTATTTTGTTAGTCTCAGTCTACTTGTGTCTGCAAATGTTTGGCACGTACCAGCTTGCCACAGAGAATCCCACAGGTCTCCACGGCCCGTGTTGTGTTGGCATCTGCTAGCTTTAAAAACCTCTGGCACAGCTCGGCGGGCACAAAGAGCTGCCGCAAGCCATTTACCAACGCACCTAATAAAACACATATAATCTCAATTTATTGACAGTATATGACAATAGTAATGTTTGTATCACAAGGTCAGCAATGCATAAGGAAGAGCAAACTGAGAGGCCTCACTGTGTCCTGCACTGACTGGAACACTCGGCTTCAGAGAGCGGTCAAATGCTGGGAGGGGTGAAGTTTGAGAGACATGGTTCGGGGTTCCTCCAGGGGTCGTCGGTGGTGTAAATGAGGCCTGTGGAGGTCCTTGTATATCAGGCACCAGGAGATCTCGGGGAGAGGTGGGTGACTCCGGGACGCTGAACCCCTGCATGATGCGCTGGCGCTCCTTCTCCAGCTGCTGTCTGCGGATCATCTCCTCAAAGGCACTGAACTGCTCCTGCTCATGCATACGCTGCTGCTGCTCGGCCTGTCTCTGCCTCTCGGCCTCCAGATCCCGCTGCTTGGCCACTTCTCGAGCCTGGGCCTCATCCTCCGCTCGCTGCCAGGAGTCACACACCCATCAATAAACACGTACACCATTACTTGGATTAGTCTGTAGGTATCACTTAAGAAAAATCTGCCCCTAAATGTAACCCACCTTTCGGACAAAATACTCGCCATGTTCTTTTTCGTACTGCTTGAGAAGCAGCTTTTTCAGTTCCTCAGCTTTCGGAAAAGCAACTTCCTTTAATTTCTAGCATGGAAAATAAGGGATATTCATTAGCTTGAGAAATTCTTCATGAAGCTTTTAACATCTTAACTTTCCTCAAATCACATCTTACCCTCATCGTTTCTTTCTTCTCAGGAATGTTGGCTGTTTTATATTCACGATGTCTAGGAAGTTTTTCAATAAACAACCTAAAAGGAAGTAAAACACAGGAACATTATTTATTATTTTTAAAAATATAGTTTTTTAAAATAATATAATTTTTGTATAAATCTTTATTATTTATATAATATATTACCATATATAATATTAATATATTAACTTATTTCAATTTTTATTAATATTATTTTTTAATATATTTAGTTTTGATATTTAATAAATGTTTATGTCTAGTATATTAAGAAATGTAATTTTAGTAAATAACAAAATCACACAAATCATGGTTTTAAAATGTTAGGAAGTTTTAAATTTCAAGTTTTTCAATAAATGGAGGCAAAATAAGAATATTATGTAAAATTATTTTTAGAATTTAAAAATAATATATATTTTTAATATATATACGTATATTCATAACAATAAAATATCTATTTAATTTGGATGTGTATTTAATGTTTATTTCTAATATATGAAGAAATGTATTTCCAATAAATAGCAAAATCGCACAAATCAGAGTTTTAAACTATTTACACATCCTAATTTTTTTTTTTAAATAGGGTTGCAAAAATGGCAAACCTTATAAAATAAATAGAACATAAAACAGCTCAGCTTATATAACACTTAGTTTGACCTCCTGACACTGACGATCAATATTTTATGAAGGTTAAGCACCTCTTTTCACTTATCAATAGCTGAAAAAGAAAAAAAATATTGACAAAGAGTTTCAGGACCTATTTTGTACCGTACTACTGGAAATCACCTTTTACATTAGGAGAGAGAACAGTAGAATGAATCTGATATGTGCAATCAATAACCGACCTGCCAGGCATTTGGCACTTTCAACCTGTTCTTGCTGTACTTACGTGATGTACTTATTGTAAAGAATGAATGCATGCTCGACATTCCCCTCCTCTGCATAGATGCTGGCCATTCGGATGATTTCCATCCCTGATCGGAAGTACCGGCGCGGCGGCACATCCTCGCTGACGTCCACAGAGCTGCCCAGCTTGGTGAGAGCGCGGACCCTCTCCTCAGACGGCAGACTGGAGTCGCTGTGCTCAGACATCATGCCTCCTGCCTGCAGATCAATAACACACTTTCAACATCCTGCACTGAGTTTACACTGTTTGTACTCTGACTAATAAAGCTCCTACTTTGGGTGGAGTTACTTCTGTGTAAGGTAATGACGTTTATACTATAAAAAAGGGTTTTCAAAAAGCATTTGGACACTGTAAAATGTCTGAAAATCATTGCATTAGACATCAAAATATGAAATCAAGTGTTAGTGTAAATGCTAATAAATGGCCTTTTCTCACAACTGGAACAGGTGTTATTGTTTTATAAAAAATAAATAAATAAAACAAATGCCAATTGGTTTGATTTTGTTTTCTAATTCATTGACTTTTATACACTGCTAAAATGTCCAAATACTTTATTTTGGGGCCTCCTCTGTATGTAATTATATATGCATACAGTTGTACATTAATATGTATTATATGTAAATAAGCTGCCGAGACTTCACGATCCTTGACTTTAAACTTTAACTTTGATTTAACTTTAAATGAGTCTCGAGGCACCCATTATTGACAGGCCAACCAGCAACAAACAACGATAGCAAGATAAGCCTCGCGTGAAGGTAAAATAACTTCCCTACCTGCTTTCACCGCACTCCTTTACGCTTTCAAAGATGCTTTGATGTATTTATCTCATATATTTTCGTCATATTTAGACATTGTGAAAACAAAGCTCGGTGTGTTCACATTAACTGTAATACATAACACTTCCGGCATCGTATGGAAAGACCCCGCCCACTTCAGTCAGCTGACGGTGAAGTCATGCCACAGATTGCCCAATCGCGAAGCACTTTTAAGCATTTTTTCAGAGCTTCGCGCTTCTCTCACTATGATGCTTGTATTTTCCGTCAGGATGATGAAACAAATCGAATTTATGTACCGTTACAGTAATATATTAATGCTGTTGCTTTTAATTATGTTTTTACACAGAAAGACATTGTTTTATATTCTTTTAAATCAACATTTTTATATTTATTTAATGGATATTTCCAGCGTATCATTGTACTTTTTTAATGTCAATCAGGGGCGGTTCTAGGGTGAGTAGATACCGGGGCTTAGCCCTGAGACATCCATATATTAGTTACACTGGCTAAGTGGCATTATTTATTTATTTATTTTTAAGCCAAGTAAAGGCCTAATTAAACATGCTGGGTTCTACATTTGTTTAAAAAAAAAATTCGCATTTTAAATCGCAAATTGCAATTTTAACCAGAAAAATTACAATTTTATTATTTTCCCCAAATCGTGTGGCCCTACATAATATTTATTTCTTGTTTATTGAATTGTTGCCCTGACACAAAGAAAAGTCTGCCACAGACCATGCATGCATGCTAACCAAACTGTTCATATAATCGCTCTAAATGCGTGTGTGTTCATGGAAGCCTGCAGATAATTCTACGATTAAAAAGCTATATTTTTTGCTTCAAAGTGACAGTGCTCAGTAACAAATAACAATCGGTATTATAGCGGCAAGTTATACAGTAGGTTACAGATACCTGAAGCAGCTGCTGTAAGTTTTTATCATTGGCTACTTCTTAATATCTTGTCTTCTAAAATCACAAAAAAGGTTGCATAATTACAAGCCATTGAGCAGATAAACCTTTTATTAAGCTGATCTCAACCTGGGTTCTCTCGGATCACTGAGAACATCTGATCAGTAGACTTGTAGCCTAAATAACAGACCTTACATCAGCCAGAATATTTTAAATGATAAAAAAAAAAAAATACAAAACGTGTAAAATATAAGGAGATAATAAAACAACTGTAATTGCACTTGCAAAGGTGTTTAATATTTCACTTCATTTAAAACTAAAGGCATGTTAGATTAGCAGCAGTTATAGATTATGTGTATGAATTACATTTGCCGGATTAAAATGACCTAATAACAGATAACCATCACAAAACGTTGTAGTAGTATTGTTAGCTAGTAGAGTCTAATAAAACAGTCAACCTCTTTAGGAGACCAAATCCGTTTACTCCATCAAAGAAAAAGAAGAGTTCCTGCACGGAGAGAATAATTTAACAATCGGACTAGCAGCTGGTGTTCAGAAAAAGCACAGTCCAGCAGTTTGGGTTGAAAGTGTGTAGCCTCCTTCATTTCAGCGAGGAGTCCTATCTTTCGGACCTTTCCTGTGTCTATGTCGAAGTTTTCGGTGAGGCCCTGGAGGTCTCGTGAATTCCTCTGGAGGCGCGTGTGGATTGTGGTATGGTTCGCCGAACCTGTAGGAGGGAAGCGGAGGTGGATAATGTCCGAAGTGGAATCCTCTGACGCTCTGGTTGGGAAAACAGGGTCTCATGCCCTGCGGTGGATGAGGAATCAAGGGCGGACGGAAGAACTGGCGCTCAGGTGGTTCGAACCAAGTCATGCTGTCCTTCTGGTGAAACGGTCTGAGGATAAATTGTGAGATTGAGTAAAGAAATAGCTTTATCCAGGAAGAAAGACCATTTTGATTTCGTGTTGACTAATGATTTGATTATTTGAGCTTACAAAAACTGATTCTGGGGTTCCCTGTGCCATTGGTGAGGTTCTTGTCCATTAAAAGGAGGATCATGGTTATGCCATTCCCTTCGATGATGAGGAGCATCATCTCGTGGTTCGTTTGCAAGTCCCTGGGCGGGTTCTTGGTCTGGCTCCTCCATTCCCTCATTACTGCATGCAAAATTGAACGGTTAACACTGTAAAGCCTGCCATATATAATAAAAGTCAAAAAAAATAAATAAAAATACAATTCAGTTTTTTTTGGCTCATATAGTATGATATAGTGAGAACATGGAGCTATAATGAGGAGGAAAAAACAACTCAATTTTACAAATAACATTTTGATGAAGTTGCTGATATTTATATGGTCCAAAAGATGAAATTCTGATGGTGTGTAATGTAAATCAATGAGATCTTTATAACAGTATAACAGACTATTCACATAAAATACATATAAATATCAGTTGTCACTCTATATCGCTCAATAAAATGTTTTAGTAAGATGATATTTAAATGCTTAGTTAGTTTTATGATCAAAACACTGTAGTTTTTATTGTGGGAGGCAAAACCTGTCCAGTAAATATTTATCTTGAATATTACTAACAATATAAAAGTTATTCTTACGTCTACTTTTCAAAAATCAGCAAAGGTTTCACAGAAAAAAAAGCTTAACTATCACTCAGATGACAGAAGGCTTGTACTAGATTGTGTACAACAGGTTTTTCAGAAGTTTTGATCATGTTGATAATTTAGAGGCCTTAGAAATTCATGTATCAAGTATGATCGAATGTGATGGCATGTAGAAGAGCTCACCTTCTCGTGGGCCCCGTCCTCAGGTCATCAAGATAGTTCTGCCTCTCAATTGAATATCCCCTTGATTCATTGAATACTTGGAAGAAATCAGAGCATTCAAATAAAAATACCTAAAAGCATGCATATACACACAGTAAGTACAAGTGAGTATACTTACAATTAATCGCTTTTTGGGGGTTCATCGCTTCAACATCAATTAGGTATCTATGACACAATATTTAACAGTGACAACTGCTGGATGCATTAACTCATCTTAAGACAAAGTTAATGGATCACGAATATGGAAAACAAGCAAAAAGAAAGTAAGTTTACTCACCGACATATTAAATAGCCGGTGCGATTCAAACCGTGCGTGCAATGAACACCAATCAGCTTATCTGTTTAAAAAAAGTCCGTATTTTTTGTTAAACAAACGTCAGCTGAACTCAACATGAAACAATGTTTGCAACCTCATTTACTTCTGTAATGACATATTTCTCAATGAAATAGGATATTAAACATTAGGATGGGCTATTTAAAAAAAAAAAAGTTTTTGCATTTTGATGAGCATTATTTCTCTTTGGAATAACATGCATTGATGAATTGTTCACTATAAAGCCAGGAACATGTACACTACTGTTTAAAAGTTTGCCGTCAAAAAGAAATTAATAATTGTATCCACCAAGGATGCATTAAATTGATTAAAAAAAGTGACATTTATAATGTTACAAAAGATTTCTATTTCTTATAAATGCTGTTCTTTTGAATTTTCTATTCATCAAGGAATCCTGAAATCAGTGGTGTAACTACAGACAGTGCAGCCGCACTGGGGCCCGTGCCGCGGGGGGGGGGCCGCAGCGCACGCGGGCCCTGCCCACATTGCAAGCGACTATATTAATATAAATTAATAATAAAATACAATTAGTACCGAGATTCTTCACAGTACTGAATAAATACATGAATTCGCATAAATTATTTGTGTACTTTAGTGGTCTAGTGGTAGAACTTTTGTCACGCATTTCCGAGGTTCTGGGTTCTAATTCCCCCTCGGGTAGTTTTTTTTTTCTCTCATTAAAACCAAAGGTGTTCATCAGTGATTGTATATCAAGAGCAAGGACATGTTTGTGTGCATTTTGTTTTGTGCTATTACCAGAACAAAGCGTACGATCGTCTGTGTGAAGACTGGGCATTGTGCACGAGTGCAAGAGAGAACTGATAACAGCAGCAACGAGCACTGGCCATACCACATTCCAGCGATAGATCGCCTGTTGTTTAACACAGACCAACGAATTTGTTATCAAATGGAGATGTTTCTTTAGGTACATCCGTGCGTGCCGCGAGATGTTGCAAAAAGTGGTGGGGGGGTCGTGGGGAGCATTTTTTTTTCGTTAAATGTAAGTTTTTTTTTAAGTAACGACCAAGCGGCCAGTGGCAGACAGTGAACTTATCATAGCCTATGTTTGATCAATTTAACCTTCTCAAATCATCACGACTTGCCTAAAATAAAATCTATAGATATAAAACAGTTCAAGCATATCACAATGTTAGTTTAAATGTTTAAACGATATAAATGTGCGCTATTAGGCGCATATCTAATCGTAGAGTGGAAGCTGAAGGCACTTTGCAGGACATGGAGGCGCCAGCGCGATCACTTGCATTTTGTTTCAGTGGATACACCGTCATTTTTGCTCATAAAGGTAAGAGTAATACATCACTCGGAACTGTAAAGGGTCTACTTTTATTTGTGTGCACTTG